GAGAGAGAGAGAGAGAGAGAGAGAGAGCGAATGCAATCCAATCCGCAGCGTGTTCCAAGAATGTTTCTGAGCTTTCTATGGTCAGCTTGGGTAATAATGATTGTAAAACTCATAGAGCATGGATATAATTATAATGTACTATATTAACACAATTCTTCTTCTTTTTCTTCTTCTTGTTCTTCTTGTTCTTGCTCTCCTCCTCCTCCTCCTCCTCCTCCTCCTCCTCCTCCTTCTTCTTCTTCTTCTTCTTCTTCTTCTTCTTCTTCTTCTTCTTCTTCTTCTTCTTCTGTTCTTCTTCTTCTTCTATTATCATTATTTTAATTTGTTATTATTATAATAATTATAATTATATTATTTTTATGATTATTTTGACGTGTCTTGGAAATTCTCTAACTACTCAGCATACCTAAGTAGTTTTATGCTAGTCAGACTTTGATTTAAATCTTATTATACTAAGCTTTTTCTTTTTTTCTTCCATTCCCCAGGGCTTTTTGAACAAGACATGCTTTTGTTCAACGGTGAAATACAAGACGGCAAAATACCGGAAGACAGAAAAAATCTCAGCATTTACGGTTTGGAAGTTGCAGAAAAAATCCATTCTTATTTCTAGTATAAAGTTTACCTTTTATTGTTTACTTCACAGATAGTGTCACATGTTTGGCGACTTTTCTCATGAAATGTATCTGGGATTTTAGAGATACGTGTATTTGAAAACATAATTTATATTCTATCCTAGGCGTGCAGGCCTACAACTGGTTTTGCCGCAGCTACCCAGGACAATAAGTGAAGTTAACAAATTTACATGTAATGACAAGTTTGTGTTTTCTCTTCCCCTTGACAAAAATCAAGAAGTTGTGGTCTTGACAGGAAGTGTTGTGGAGGGTGCACCTGTGCAAGGCATCACCTTCAAACACAATGCTGAAGTGCGAATGGGATTCAGCACAGTTTTGCTCTGAGAATAAGAAGCTAGGGCGGGAATGATGTGAAGAAAAAATCCACACCTTTGACCGTCTTTGAGAGTAAAAGAAACTTTTGTTGGGGTGCAATTAAAGTAATTTCCTGTAGCTGAGGATCTCCTTGTGCTTATGATACAGGTCTGTATTTAAACGTATCGTCCTTTTTATACATATCACGTGCTGTGGAAGAGTCCAGTGCAGCACCACTTCAATTTCAACGTTGGCCATAGTCTTGAGCACATGGGGGAAAAAGAAAAGCGTCTCGCTTGAAAGCAAACACTACATACTATATCTCTACATGCGAAAAACGCTGTTTTGGGAAAATCAAAGGCAGTATAGTTTTTAGACCCGTGTTCAGTTTCTTTAAAATACAAGGAGAGTTTTCTCTATAACCAAACAAATACATGTACACACATCAATGAAAACAAACTTCTCCTATAGGCAGGGCAATGCCCACTTTTGGTGTACGTCAAGATTTCTGGAAACCACCCGAAATCTGGGTTAGCCCACTTGTCCTTAGAAGGGACCATGTATGCTGTAACACTACATGACTAGTTTTCAACACCTGTAACACTACATGAATAGTTTTCAACACCAGTCTATGACAAGGTTGGTGTGGCAGCAAAGAGGAGAAAATGATTCTCAATTGGATCTACTAAATTGCTTTGTATTTTACGAAGTCGAAAATTTTTAATGGCTGGGCATGAGAATTTTGTGGTGAATACAGCACTACTTCAAGCTTTCTATCATTAATTTAATCAGCTTTTTTGAAAAACAAAGAGTAGCCGTGGACCAAGCAACACTTAAAAGACAACTAATACATGTGCATGAAGTAAGCACTTATAAAATCTACTGGGATTCCACGAAAACACAGTGAAGCTTGCGTAAGCCAGATCCGATTGTCGAAAGAAGTATATTTCTCATAAAAAAGCATGTTGGGGCTTCTTTACTTTGATTCTTCCCCTTCATACTCACACTTTGACATGGTTAAAGCAGAGGTGACTCTAGGATGGATCCTGAAGGGGGAGGGGGGGGGGGCAGAGATGAACATGTTACGACTGCAGTGACCCCAACACAGTGGACAAGTAAGACAGGTAAGTAAAGCAGAGGTTCCCATCGTTGTTGATGAAAAATTATGCATGCATCATGTATACTGAAGTCTGTTTTAACCAAAATCTATGGGACTGCCGTGTTTTCTCCGGTTTAGCTAAGTTTTCAATTTAGAGAGGTTGTTGAATTAGAAGGAGGAAAAAAAAACATGCGGGTGGTTGGCGGGTGCTCTGGTGTGGTTTGCTTCTTCTTCCCCTATCAAACATCCATCGCCATTATCTCCCCTCCTTCTTTTTTGAGTTTGATACTCTCTTGTAACACCTCTAATCTTTGGCACTTATATGACCTTATTGTGTTGCGAGTGCCGTAAAACTTTTACTAATACAAGGAGAAAAAATTTGGGATTTTATTTTCTTTAGGTTCACAGATGTTTTTAGATTAATTGTGCTTGGTTTAAGTTTAAGTTTAAGTGGACTCCACTGTACTTGGATTCAACGAACATGAAAATCAGGCCTGGCGATTTCATAGTTACTTATATATATTATGCTAGTTTACTGCAGGGTACACCTACCTCATTTACAAGAGCTACATTTTTCTTAATGTTATTATTACATGTATTATTGTTATCATGTAGTTTAAAAAAAATTCTTTTGATTACCTGACTTGGAGTACAAGCCATGTGTGTAGAATTATATTTACCCCTGTCTAATAAAATGAGCTGATATAATTTTAGTGTTACTATTTGCGATCCTGAAATATGTCTATCTGTGTTTACGTGTCTGTGAACTTCAAAGGGTGTTCATGTTTTGCATGACTCATGACTGATCGCATCGTTCAAGTTCAAGACGACAGTTATGTTTCACTTTTCTTGCAACTACAAATAAATGATTTTACCAATACAACCGTTCAAGTTCAAGCAAGTCAAGTCACCACATCGTGTTTACTGCTCACAAATGTTTCTTTTACCGTACCAATGCAAAGAATCCCTAACTAGGAAAGGAGGGGGGAGGGGGTGTTGTTAACAAATAAACTCACTGCACACCAGTAGGAGGTACAAACTCTCTTAATAAGTTACACTTGAACTTTTAAACATTGATGTACACATGCAAAACTTTGCCTGCCTGTTTTGTATTCTTCCCTTTTCTGTGCCTCCCCTTCTCGGCCAATATGAGTATAATCAGGCATTTGTCAGAAGAAAAACAATCCAGAAACGCAGACTAATTGGGGGCCCAGCTCTGAAATCTTACATTTCAGATTTTTATTTGGCCCAGATTATTCTAAAGATGTATGAACTTTCGAGTTTGATCAAAAACAATTCAAATAATATGTCATACACACACACACACACACACATATATATA